AAAACTTTTATTCTCACTGAAAGAGTATAGAGAATGCATTTTTTACGAGTTGGCACCAGCAACTGCTTTGGTGGTGGATACTGGTGCTCGTATGTACTCACATGTCCACACAGCAACGCTTCATATTAATTGTACTTCATAAATGAAGCTATAGGAGTACCAGCGTCGGTGTGACTATGCTATAAGAGTACCAGGTCGGTGTGACTTGGGGGCGGTGGGTGCGGTGGGCGTCTGGGGCGGCATGTTGTGCCTTGGTTATGCGCTATAACGGTGGTCTCGGTTGAAAAAGGCACCGCGCAGCGTCTGCTAAGTGCAAAATATTCTTTCGTGCTCGGTGTATGAGCGCCTGTATGTACCTTCCCTTGAGCGCCTTGTCGACTTATCGCGCCAATTGCCTACCCATTCCGCATTGCCCTCCTTTGGCTGATCGGCGTCTATGGTCAACGCCTTGATATCGTGGTTATGAACGATAAACGGTTGATGAAATTCCTCTTATATGATTGATAATGATAATGTTGCTCTTTTATTACTGCATCTTGCACTACTTACATGCTTACATCTGAGTTGATTACTGCTACGTTTTAAAGTGATAAGTCTGAGTGCGGCAGTAACCAAAATGTTTGCCAAAACACAAAGAAGAGAATTATTATATCGAATAGCTCGTTTTTCTCTCATTATGATGACTGTCGTGTACCACCTGAGTTCCAGTCTTCGTCCATACTCAACATCCTTGTGTCATTTCGATGTTGGCCGATTTCTGCAAAGAAAGCAGGCCGCAGGCACGCAAAATACCGCACAACTAGCCTATACGCCTTGCCACGCCTTGCCTTCCAAGGTGTGTAAAAGTATTCCGTACTATGTATCTTCTTAAGTCTACCGCTGAACGCTCCCCCCCCCCTTCCACAACCTACTTTCCCTCTCACCGACTCCCCCAGAAACTACCCTCTATTGGAGAGTAATGGGCACCTTGAGCACATATGAGAAATGGTGATGCTGCCTTCGGCGTCCAACCGATTGAGTGGCTTGCAGAACCATTGACTAGGGCATCTATAAAATGGAGAAAATCAAATTCAAAAAAATTGTTTTTGGGCCAGAGAAGCCCTTCCTTTCCACTTAAAAAAATGCGACTTCTCGTTTTGTTGTAGACGAGTGACTTGTTCTGTTAGCCACACGCGCTACTTCCGCTCGACTCGCGTTGGCTCCTCTCTTGTGGCCTGCGGACTTCGGCGCAGACCATACGATTGCTGGAAGGTAGCTCAACGTTCATACGAGATTCGTGGCGCGTCCAGAAAGATGCTCTACGTTCCAAAATGAATAAGCGTTCACATCAGAAACTTTTCTCTAGAATGACATCACTGCAACATTTCGATCGGTGCCAATTCATGGCACAAGCCTATATACGAAGTTAGTTCATTGCCGCCGGTAACACCTGCTTGATCAAAGTTGCCTTCCAACAACTACAACGAAAATTGAAGTGAAATGCTGATCCTTCCTTCCTCGAATTTTTCATTTTATTTCATCTTTCTGTTGCTGCTAAGCTGTTCTCTTGGAAAATGAGGCTCATGTATAATTCCGCTGTGACTAAAGAACAGCTTGTTTGATTAACACCACGCCTGTGCTCACAGTCGTCATTCTCAGAACAAATAGTTTCCTGGAGACTACTCCTTCGGCCGTCCTAGATGATTTCGGAATGCTTCGTCAAAATCCCTTCTCTCATATCCATTTCCACAGCTATAGAGCTCCTTGTGTTCAGCTCCTTCGTGTTCTGCTCCCGTTCTATAATGTTGTAAAGAAACCCCTGGGATGGAGAATTTACTGAAATACGGAAATCTGTGTTGGGAACAGACTCATGGCTACGCTGTCGAAGGATTTAGTCTATATTTGGGGTCAGCGCTTAGGTTCCTTTAGGCTGTCGGAGTATTATGTGAGGGCTTTCCTTCGAAGTGTTGGGGAACTTCTTTGCCGGCCGAGTGATGGATTTCAAAGAAGCGCAAGCTAAATTTCCGGAAACCTCGAAAACGAAAAAAGTGAAAATTCAGCAATTTAATTATTCGTGTAGAGAAGACTTTTGGAAACTGTCACAGATGCTGACTCGAGGGCAAGACTCAGACCTCAGGCAAAACTCCAACCCGGATCTTCCGCTAACAGAGCGAGCGCGCTATCCATTATGCCACCGAGCCGCTCTCGCCATCTCAGCTCAATGGTTTTTGTACCACAGATTTCCAGCACTCACACCCTTTTGTTTGGCAACTATAAGCCGGTTTTTGAGAACATGGTGGATCCATATCAACCTATACAGTCATTATCCCTGCAAATTAGAGGGCATGTGAGGGAGCATGGATTGTAGCGCAACCAGGGTGGCAGTGGCATTTTTCTCCAACAGATGCAGTTCTGGGTCTGCTACGGCGGTGGGAGCTGCCCTAGCTGCGCTACATTCCACGTCCCTTCTCTTGAATTGTCGTTTGCAGGGATAAAGACTGTGTCGCGGATGTCAAAGCCTCAGAGGAAGCCTCGCGAATAAGACACATCATGTTTATGAGACAAACGGCCGCTGCGCCTCCAGAACGACGTCTTTCAACCCGAGAGTTCAGCATAACCCTCATAATCACTTTCAGCTCCCTGAATTTGCAAAAAGGGGAGGGGGGTAGAAAAACTGAAGCTGAAGGGAAAATCCCATACATCCCATACACTATTCTGGAAGTTCCACATCATACCAAATCCGTCTAGGCGAAATGAATACCACCCTCGGGAGCTTGAACAGGGCTTTCCTGTTGAGGATTTCGCAAGGATGGTGGTTCCTGCACGGCAAACAAGACGTCAAATCAGGGAAAATTGAACGAGTTAAAAACGGAACCCTTCAAACATTGACATTGACAAGTAGATTTAGTTAATACTTTGACAGCCATCTTTCTTGCGAACAATGTCTTTGTTACAAAGCTGTTTTTTCTCCAGTTCTCGCAAGTGCGCTTCATTTTTGTTGAATTTGGTTTTTGCTGGGGCACATATTTGGTATAACTGTAAGTGGCTTCACTTACCACGCAGATGGCTCCGTCATCTACTTCCGGATCAAATCTCTTTCGAGATAACTAAACCTTGGGCCATTGCCCAGATACAGTACTTTTCCTGGGAAGTGTCAAAAATATGCCGACTTCATGAACAGTTGGCCCTCCGGCCTTCCTGTCGTTGGGCCATTACTGTGTGAGGTAAATTGACGTAAGGCTTCCTAATAATCGGGTCGGCATGTTGGACCAAACCCGCTGAAAGTTGATCGGCGCCGAGTGATTTACCCTTTTATTCTTTCTACTACTTTTGAAGTGCTTTTTGAACATTGATTGTTCTTTTCAATTAACTTGAATTGTTACTTTTTTTAAAAGCAGCGAATTTTTTTGATAGCCATCTTCCTTTTCAAAACAATGCTCTTTTTTCGAAGTTGTTCTCTTCTTCGGGAGCTCTCTCCAATGCGTCTTTCATTTTTTGTTAAATTTAATTTTTGCATATCGTTGGCATATCTGTGTAAGTTGGATTTCAGATACCAGCTGCAGATTGTTCCGCTCATCTTCTTGCATCAATCGCCTTCCGACCTAAGTGAACTCGTCGGAACCTTGTCTAATCGGCGTTCCAGTACAGACCTTCTGGGAATTGAAAAATCGTTGACGTCCACAGTACGTTGGCCCATAAACCCTGGTCGTGGGCGATTACTGTGTGTGGAAAAATGATCGCAATGGATTCTGTTATCGGGGGCAGCATGTGTGGGGTCCAAGGCCCACGAAGTGATCGGCGCCGAAGGATTTAACGCCTTTTATCTTCTTATCATCTTCGAAGTACTTTTTGAACTGATTTCTTACACTTCGCACTCAGATGAGTTTACGTGGACTTGCTCTTTGAGGTCATTTTCTACAACAACATTTATTTTAGGGGAATGAGCCGGAGAAGTTCATGCTCATCGCTTTCACCCAAAAGAACCAACCCGCGGAATGAATCGATTTAGCCATGACATGTAAGAAATACGTGAAACCTAACTTCATTGTTTCTTTTCGTTTGCCGCCACAATCACGGTAATCCATAGAACACTTAACACCCGATTGAAATTCACGCTTTACTCAAAATTGTTTATTTTTTGTTGACTGTATTCACCGGATAACGCTTTTTTTTTAAAGCTTCTAGGTAATATCGAATGTTCCTTTAGGCTTTTGATGACACAGTCCATGCGGGTGTTTATGGGCGGAGTGAGACCAACCATAATACCATAGGCCTGTCTAATTGCCGTAGCACTACAGCTTGCCACAAGCCAGTCTGGCATCCCTCATTAGTTAAGTCTTCCCTCCACGGTAAGGGCACCTACTGAAAGACGATGGTAGGCCTTACTCCGCCCACATTGCAAATAAGAGTGGAATCTGCGATTTATATCCCATGTTGCATTTTTAGTCTTCAAAGCAACTATCCGCCAATAGCATCTGGACAAATGTGGGATTTTCAGGCTTCTCACTCGGCGGAATATTCGAGTTCATTGCACTATGAGAAACCTGTGAGCAAAAGTACTGCCCCGCCGCCGCCTGCAGTCGTGGCTCCAGACTCTAATGAGCTGAAGTATATCACACCGCCGGAGGTTCAGCCACCGCCACCTGCATCAAAAGTGAGTGAGTATCAAAATTTCATACCGAAAGGTACCGCGGCCTCCCTTGGGAGGCCTTTTTATTTCGATTTTTCACCGATAGTAACGTGCGTTCTCTTTGCCTACTTGAAATATAGTAGACGCCCCTTCGTTCTCGGAGAACCTCTTTATATACCTCATTTCCCTTTTTCATGTCGATCCTCATAGTTTCAGCAGACCATGTCGCTCTGACAGAAACCGAATGTAACGCCACATTTACATCTCAACGGTGTTGACTAAAAAGTGGTAACAAGAATCTGATGATAGTAGTCGAAACTTCGCGGCGGTGGCACTGAGCCCTCTTGGAGAAAATGAAAAAAAACCGTCTCTTCTCTGATAATTGGGTGGGAGAGAGGATTAGCGCGTAGCTGTTCTTGACTGTAAGTCATCCAAAACGGCGGAGAATTCCTGAAAGAATCGCGGGAATTCAGTCTTCCTATTGTAAATCTAAGTTCAGGGTCGCTAACGCTTCACTTAACTTCTGTTCGCCCAGCCGTGCAGAATCCCAAATTTCATGCAGTCCATGGAATTCCAAGAATTTCGCGACGTATTTTTTTCCTCACTGGTGAAAATGGGTCAAAACAAACTGTGTCATTTTCAATTTATGACCCTCTCCGATTTAAAATGTTACGATTAACGTTTCTTTTCCCATGGAATATTGATTCACAATCGCCTTCTGAACTTCGCCTGTGATGTATAGCAATGGCAGTGTATTGCAGCCAAAAACCGCCCCATTACCAATGCCAGCAGCGCAGCCTGAGAAGGTGAATAATCCACAAATGGCGTTCGATTTCAATGGTCGTGACTTCAATAAGGTGGTCGCTCGTCCCTTGAATATGGAGCAACGAGACGAACATGAAATCAATCAGGATCTCAAGGTAATCCCAAATTATATTTATATTAACCAGGCTCACTTCATGGGTCCCGTTTATCCTTTTATGGAGCTATTTACTCGCTTCTGTCCTTCACTGAGAAGTTTTAGCACTATTGAACTATTCCAACCCCAAGAACTTAAAAGTTTTTCGCTGAAGTTCTGCCTATAGATGTTAAACGATGTCCTGATCGTCAACGTGACATAGAGCTGGCGCTATTTGGCGCCAACAGGCGCCAACATCACGCCACCACTTCTCGCACGAAATTTGATGAAAATTCCTAAACGGGGATCAGTTGACATCCTGATCACGAATATGGCATTAACTTTCAACGATGGGGCCATTTGGCGATACTACGTGCAATCTGGAACCCTACCGCTCTTCCCAAAAATCAATAAAAAGTTGCGTAATAGGATTGTCTCATGCCCTGACCACAAATATGGTTTACTTCTCGACACCAGCGCCATTTAGCCTTCTGCTAAGGCCGAACCTGGGAGAAGGAGTGATTCCCTTCAGGCCAGGCTCAGCCTCAGCAGAGCGCAGATGATCATAGTGTCCTACATTAGCGCCGGCGCCAGAAATAAATGTCATATTCGTGATCAGGATGTCAAATAACCCCCGTATACAAGTTTTCATCGATTTTGGTGATTTGAGGTGTTTTGGCGTTGCGCCTGTGGCACGGGCGCCAGGCAGTTGGCTAAGCGGATGTGATATTCGTGTTCAGGAAGGTCGAACTACTACCAGTGAGCAAATTTCCACCCAAATCTGCTCTCGTAGAAAAAATTCGGTAAAAACCGGTCCGATTCCGGAAGACTGTGCTAGGAACAGTTAGTTCAATAGTGCCGAGATTCTTGCTTGATTATCTCGAGACTTGCCAAAGGTGAATATCCGCAGGAACTTGTCTCTGGAAGTACTTGATCTAAGCATTGAGTTCACTCCTTCCTACATACTAAGGCATCTGGCATCTAGTGTGCCACCTGACGAAATTGGGTACTAAGTCGAGCTGCAATGTATCCTTAGCAAGAAAGTTTTTAGCTTTTTATTTAGCTTTTCAAAGAATTGAAGTTTTTGGCGCTGGTACTAGCAGCGTTAGCGTCAGAAGTTCTCATTTCGAACGAATGTGATTATCATGTTAATGTAATCTAAGTGTGATATAATTGTTTTTACTTATTATCATGAAACATCAGTATATAAAAGTGTGGTATAATTTCCAATATTGAATTTTTGGATTTATTGATTTCAAGGAAGTAGTCTAGTTTCCGTTTCGCACGTGCCCTTAGACGGAAACTAGACAACATCGTGACGGAAACTAGACATCCACCCTTCATGCTCATCAGTAAGGAAGGGTTGGAGCAACAGGTTCAAGTGTGATAAGTTGGAAATTTTCGAAAACCTTTCTAGGAATCCTTAAGAATTATAAAACGTTTAGATGATATTATTTCAGTCTTCTACTTTAATTTAGCAGCCTAGCTCTGAGTAGTTGGCTGTATATGTTTTTAACAAACCTTTTATACAAACAATGTTATCACCCACCTGTTACTTCTTCCTTCTTATCCTGATTATCATGTTAAGAATGTGAAACCAATTTTGTAGACAAATTCTGATAAGACCCGACCCTGCAACTGATCTCAATGATCGTCAGAGTGTACACGGTGAAGGGCGCTGGAGCTTCCTGCAGGAAATTTGGACACTGAAAAATCAATTCCTCAATGCAACCCCTGGGAGTGATTCCTTTTGGTGTTCCACTTCCCTCTTGCGACGATTATTCTAAATGAAACCGCCTGGCACGGTAGAAACGGTAGAAACGCTTCTTTGTTCAGTGGGCTTCTTCTAATGAAGAAGCCGAATCGAATGCTGCTACGACCCTGTGTAAAAATGAAATGAGTGGCTCATGCCAAAAAGAATGAATCAACATCGGGAGTTGGATCCACTTTTGCTCTCATTACTTGAACGGATGAAGCTACAGCCGCGGAAAAAAAGCTGGAACAAGTTTTGTAATGGCATTTTTATCTATGACAAGCTATCTGTTCTCTCTTTAATCAAACAGCAGTATCAGGGTCAGAAGCTAAGGACATAATTTTTACACAATAATTGAAATTTCGATAAGTGGAGGTAGTGTAGTGGCTAGTGGCGCCACTTACCACAACATGGTCTGGGGTTCAAATCCCGGATCGGCTCCCACTCGAGCCAACCGAGCTTACCATGCCTAGGAGGAGTGCTAATTAGTACGATACTCGTCTGAGAGAATGAAAACGTCGATTTCTGCACTGAGCAGCCTTCCTCACTCCTTCCCACGATGCGTTGCATAGGCCAGTTCACATTCAAATATTCAAAAGCCACCCACTCTGAATGGAAGCGATCGGAAATGATATCTTTCATCTCTGAGCTTTTTGATGCAGTATTGCTCCTTAACGTCTCGCCAACCCTCAAGGAGCTGGAATGTTCTTCGGCGTACGCGATTACATGGTTAGCTGCCATGCCTTGCCATGTCTGTCTGCTAGTCCCACTTGGCCCATCGGAAGAGGAGTCACACCTGTCTGAATGTTCGCTCCCTTCTTCCATTACTTTTTTACAACTCTCGAGAAACCATGTTCTTCCCAAAGCATTAGAAACTTTGAAAACCGGTCCATATCAGAGTGGTAGTGGTATGCCGCAACGCAATAATATCCA